GAAAATGTCAGAAGGGTTATCTGCTTCTCAGAAATCACAGTGTAGAGAAGATGCTAATGTGCATGAAGTGGGCCATGGTCCATCCCAGGCTGACAGCCGAACTTGGCAGTGTCATTCACTTGGTGTTGGCTTTAGAGGAATGAAAGATGTAAGAGTGAAGGTGTCATCAGTTATTATTCCAAAGAGTCAGAGACCTGCTGAGGTCAGGCAGTGGGCAGCAGGGATCAACCTGAATAAAAAATGCCCAGATAGATCATTGTTTAAAACTGAGAAATTCTGGTTGGTTGGATACCTCAAAAAGAGGTTGGAGATGCTAAAACCATGAGACATCTGCCAAGGAGAGATACACACAGGGAGTGACACTAGCCCGAGAGAGATATATGTTGCATGCAGCAAAGCTGCAGGAACTGAGCCATCTAAGCCCCTTGGAAGTTAAGCCTAGTCATGGTACATGGAAATACAGGATTTGATATTTTCCATGCTGGGTTTCAGTCTTGTTTTGACCCAGTATTTCCTCACTATGTCCCCATTCCTTCCTTTTGGAATGGGAATGTGTATTCAGTTCCATTGTATCCTAGAAGAATAAAATTTGTCCTTTGATTTCACTGGGACTTGCAGTGGAGTGATCACTTTGAGTCTCGGTAGAGACTTCAGACTCAGGACTTGAATATTACGGAGATTGGTAAAGACTATGGGGACTTCTGAAGGTACACTTAAATGGAGTTTGCATTTTATATGATCATGAGGCTATGGGGCCAGGAAGTGGAATGTGGTGGTTTGAAGGAGAGTGTCTCCCATAGGTTCCCACTATTTAGAAATTATGTCCCCAGTTAGTGGTGTTTTCGGAGTCCTTAGAACATGCAGGCTTACTGGAGAAAACATGTCACTAGGGGCAGTCTTAGCTCTTCAGCCTTGATGGATTTCCAGTCACTCTCTGCTTCCTGTGACTGCTTGAAGATGTGAGTTCTCCTCTTTCCTCCTTGCTACCACGCCTCCCTGCCATGTTGGACTCTGTTTCCGGTTCCTCTGGTGTAAGCTCAAATAAGCTCTTCCAAGAGTTGGAACTTCCAACTTTTAGAAGTTCCCTCGGTCATGATGTTTTATCACAGAAATAGAAAATAATCAATACAATGTGTTAATCATCCTCTGATGCCTAAAGAGACTTCTTTGGTGAGAGTTGAGAGATGTATTTATAGTACATGTAGACTTTGCATTGAAGATGTGTTACTTAGGGTTAAGCATCTCACAGACACATATTCTGTACATTTGATTAGTTCTGGAACTCTATGTTAGTCTCCATCTGTTGCAAGAAGAAACTTCTTTGATGAAGGGTGAAAGGTATACTTGTTTGTACATATGAGGATGCATGTTTAGAATAAAGTAAGAGATTAAATTTGTCTAGGGATGTGACAAAAGTAACTTTTTTTCTAGGATTTATGACATATCCAGGCATGTGTATTTTGCTATGTTTATAGTACCACATATACGTTCCCTCCCATTTCAGGAGTCTTAATTCCAATTAGATTGCTGTTGATTACTCCCATAATAAAAGTGACACTAGAACACCAAGTGACAACTTGCTGGGCTAGTGAATGTTGTTTACTAGGTTTTACACCTGGGTAGTACTATTGCTTCTTTTTCTCCCTTGGCAGCTTGTATAGTATCCTCTGATACCATGACAGCTACTCTTCAGGGAGGTGACTTCCTAATCATTTCCAGCTCAATTGCTCCAAATCATGTGTCCAAAGTGTAGACTGTGTTCAGTAATAGGATCTGACCTTCAAGTTCTGGGAGGCAATCAAGGGCTGTGGCAATAGCCTGTGTTATTTTGGGGAGTCTCTTGGACTACCATGACTACTCAGAGATTTATCCTGCCTGGCACTGTTTATTGTTTGTTTGTTCTGTTTTTTATTATTTCTGTTTTTGTTAAACAGCATTCAGCTCCACACATGCACTAGAGTATTTGTCACATGTGCATTTTTCAGTAGTACTTTATTTTCATCAGTTAGTACTTTAGAAATAGTTTGGAAATAAAGTTTCCTTTATTATTTTATCTAACAATTTGTGTAGTATACATATTTGTTCTTCCTTGAATGTCTGAAAGTATACTGCAGTTATGATTTTATATTTTTAAATTTAGCAGTACATAGGAATTGAAGCTATGTAGATATGGCTTTCTAAATTTCATTTGTTATTATACAATATATGGCTTTCTAAGTTTTATTTGATACTACATAATATATGCTTTTTCCTCTTAATTAATTTTCATGTTTTCTTTTTGGTTAATTTGGCTAAAGATTTGCACATCTTGTTCATTTTTGGAAAGAACCGCCTCTTCCTTTCATTTATTCTTTGAATTTTTTTTCTTCTACTTTATTTCTGTTCTGACATAATTTCTTCCCATCTACTGCTTTAGGATTTGACTTATTCTTGTGTTTCCAAGGATTTAAAATTTATAATTAAATTATTTAATTGAGATCTCTTTAATTTTATTTACTTATTCTTTAAAAATTCATAAACATATACAATGTATCTTGAGCATACCCACCCTTCTCTGTCCCTCTAACTTCACCAGGTTCTCCCAACAAATCTCCCTCTTAACTTCATGTCCTCTTTTCTTCTCTAATTTTTTGATGTTCACACTAGGCAGTATTAATTTTGTTATTAAGAATGCCTTCACCATTTCTAATATATTTTTGCATGTTATGTTTTCATTTTCATTCATCTTTATGACTTAAACATTTTTTTTGCTAATTTCTTCAGTGACCCATTTGTCACTCAATAGCGTGTTATTTAGTCTTCATTTGGATGCTTTCCATAGTTTCTCTTGGTATTGGTATCTAACATCATTTCATTGTGGTCAGATAGAAAACAAGATGTTCATTATTTTCATATTTACCAAGGCTTACCAAGTAATATGTTATTACCAAGTAATCACATATTATGCCCTAATATGTGATTACTTTGGAGAAAGTTCAATAAGCTGACCCCATCTCCCATCCATACCACATTATAACCCCAAAACCAGATTTCATGAATTCTGTCATATATACTAGGGCCTATCTGGTCAAGCTTTTGTATCCAGATGTCTCTTGGTTCAAATTCATTCACTAGAGTCCTGTCAGCCTATCTAGTCACTCCCTTAAAGAAAACCAGTTCTCCCTCATCCAGCAGTAAGAGGTTAAGGATAGTCCATTGGCTAAGTTTGGGGCCTGCTGCCCATTTCCACAATTCTATGCTGGGTTTTTGTCTGATTGAGTCGACATGGATATTGTGTATGCTGTCACCATTACTGAAAGTTCATATGAGCAAGTTCCCAGTGGCCTGAAAGTCTCTGTTTCCTTATGTTCATGCATCAACCCTGGCTCTTACAATCTTTCCATGCCCCTCTTCTGCAGTGGTCCTTGAGCCATGAGTGGATGAGGTTTAATATAGGAGTCCTATCCAGGGACATGCACTCTCCAGTCTCTTATACTCTATGCCTTAGCCACTTGTGGATATCTGTGTACATTGCACTCTATTGCATAAGTAAGTTTTATTTCACTCTGTAAATCACAGTTTAGTTGAACTCATGGCTTGCTTTCCTAAGCCTCCAAAAACAAGGATTGCAGGTGGGAATCAGCACACCCTGGTACAGCGTCTTCATTTCAGACTCCTAATTGACTTAATAAAAACAACTTGTGACTAAACCATGACCAAAATTAACACAATTTGCTTTAAGAGAAGTTTTATTGATTTGAGAATTTAAAGACTTCTTTTCACATCTGCACCCTCACCCTACCACCCACTTCCCACTTCGTCTATTAGCTAATGAAAACCCCTGTCCGTCTTCCACCTCTGAGCTGGCTGCAGGAGAAATCATATTTCATTAGAGTGTCCATGATCTATAATTCTTACACACAGATATGTTCAAACAAGGACCTAGTCCCTTTCCTTTGTACGTGATTTGAGGTCAGAATATGCTCAAATTTCTTGGATGGGATTTTCACTCTTAATTTCCTTTTCATTTATGCACTGCTTAGAAATGTCAAATAGGAATGCCTCTTTTTCTTAGCAGTCAGAAACAGTTGGTTTTCCTCATTAACTTTAGTTATTTGCAACCCATGAATGCAGTTCTCACTTTGACTATTTCCAAGCCTTGCACAGTACAATGATCCCACTGTGGACCATGGCTTTCTCTAACAGGTTGATTCCCTGCAGGGTTTTCTTGTGAGTAAAAGAAGTATCTAGGTCTTCACAACATGCTTCACTCAGCTCACAAGTCTCCAAAAAGAAGATATACAGTTTCACAGAACAACATTAAGCACTGACTTCTAGTTAATTCCCTGAAATCTATAGAATTATGATATTCCTAATCATGTTGAGGACTGCAGTCAAGTCTTAATGGACACTGAGGGATGATGATGGACAGCTGACTATCGGTGCCCCTGGGGCATGTGGGTGAAAAGGCTGACAAGGCTCTGCTGGGATGTGTAGCTGGTCATGCTGGCGCAACTCAATGCTGCATATCTGAGTGGGCAGCCAAGCTCTGCCAGTCTGCATGACCAGACTGGGGCAGCTTCACTGGTGCATGTGAGCTGCTGGGGTAGCTCTACCTTGCTAGTGTTCGTGGCTAGGAAGGTCAGCATGAGTCTACCATCTTTGTTTTCCAGTCATTTTCCTTCTCACTTGTGAAGTCCTTAATTCAGAATTTTGAGATCAATATAGAAGCATCAAGATACTGAATAAAATGAAGAAGCCCAGAGTCATGTTTTAAGTCCTTGTTCCAAAAGTTGCCATCACCAATCATTTTCTTTCTTCCTTGATATGTCCTGAGTTCAGAATTTTGAGAACAGTATAGAAGTGGCTATGGTCAGGTAAATGTTCATCTTGTGTGAGAAGGTTGCTCAAGTGGTACATCTCTTTGAAGTTGGTTACCCAGGCCTGGAAGCTGGCTGCCTGGGGCACAACTCTTTCCTATGCCATCTTTTCTCTCAATGCCATCATTTGAGCGCTCTTATCATAGTCCTTCTTGTAAGAATCCAAACTCATACTAATCAATGAGTTATGCATTGTAAAAGAAGATTTATTTATCCACCTGTCTTTCATGTCTTTGTCCACCAGTTGAACAAACACACACACAGAGAGAGAGAGAAAGAGAGAGAGAGAGAGAGGAGAGAGAGAGAATTCTCAAGATTAAGACACTTGACATTTAAACCTAGAGTAAAGTTTAGTGCTTTTGTTTTCCCTCAATTTCCATGTCTTCAAACCATTAAATCCTGTTTCTATGTTGAGAATGTAGCTGTGTCGATAGAGTGCTTTTCTAGAGTGCAAGAAGCTCTGAGTTCCATCCATAGCACAATATAAAAACTGAGTATGATAATAAACACCCATAATCCCAGAAGTCAGGTGACAAAGGCAAGAAGATCAGAAGTTAAACATCCTACAAGACTACATACTGGGTTTGAGGCCTATTAGGGATTCATGAAACCCCTTTTCATTCCTATTTTGGTGGGTGGAACCATGATTCACTTCTGCCATACCACCATGAGAAGCAGTACTTTGGTTGAGTGCACCACGAATCTTTTATTGAACTCATGCAGGTTGAATATTCATTTTCTTTTTTTCCCCTCTTAAACAGTTGGTTATTGACAGTGGGCTGGAAGGGATGGCAGAGTGAGCATTCAAAGATAACACCACACACCAAAGTCACAAGGGCGACAAGAGATTTAGGGAAAGAAATTGGAGGCTCCCTCTTCCTAAGCAAGTGAGTAGGCCAGGACCTGGAATGTTGTCTTAGCAGTCTCCTCATTGTAAGATTTCTGGGTGCCAGCAAGGTCTGGGATGACCATGTTTGGCTTCAGTATAGTGCCCTCCAAGTACATGTGGTTGCTCAGAGCCTTGTAGACAGAAGGTATTACCTTCATACTAATGGTGCTTCAAGTCTGCATTAGAGAGGGGTTCGAGCTCCACAGTGGGTGCAATGCCATTCACTAGTGGATGCTGGTGTAATGGGTCAGAACATTAGCATTTTCCATGATGGTAAGGGCTGAGGGGGTGTGCTCTCTAATGTTCAGCACACAACACCATTTGGCAAAGTTGGCTCCATCCTTCTTGTACTGGGCACAGTGTTCAGAGAGCTTATCTATCCCTTGGGTGGTGATCTCACCATTGGTTCCTGACAGGGGCACCATGCCCTTGTCTACATTGGTACCCACAATACCATCCTTGGATTTGATAATGTGGGGGGAAAGAATGTCCATGATACACCTTCTGGTACAGTGTCTCATAGAAAAGGATCAACCACTCCCTGCCTTCTGAATTCAGGCATTCACATAGTCAGCAGCAGTCAGCAGCTACTGGTGGTAGAAGTGCTCATTCTCCTCTGTGTTAGTGCCAGTAGGCCACAGCAGCTTGACAATGCTTCCTGTGGACTCATCTACAGCCAGGATGTCATTGCCTGGAGCCGCAGTGTGGTTAGCGATGTCAAACAACCCCTTCTTCTCTGTGGTCAGTGCTGGGTATGGGTAGGGCATGGTGTCCATGGCAGCATGTTCCTGGCAGAGGAGGGGGTTGAGTTTGCGGGGAGTGGCCAGTAGACCAGAGGACTGAGGCATGAACAGGACAGTGTTCACCAGAATTCAGTTCTGTATGAATGCTCATTTTCAATCTTCCCACAGCCACTTTTTTCAGAATATGTCAATTCATCTTAGTCTTAGAACAAGTACCCAAATCTCTGTGATTTATCACAACAGTTTATTTTTGATTGCCCGGTACTCCAATGAGTTAAGAGGAATATTAATGGACATTTTTCTTTCTGCAACATCTTAATGTTTGCAATTGATAAAAACTCCTCCATCTTACATTCTCATCCTGAAAAAATGGCTTGTTTGTTTGAAGCAGAATGTAGAGTTATTTGAAAAGTATATACTTTAGCAATGCATTTCTTAACTATTTTGTTGAATATTATCGATAATAATCTGCTTCCATGCAGAATAATTCTTAGTTGATAAGCTGCCCTCCTCTACATATCTAATTTATTAGTAAGTCCATAATCTCTTTTATGCACACAATATTCTTTAAATTTTTATGAAGATTTTCCCTGCATGCATTTCCTTGTAAATCTTTCCAATAGTGTCATGGAGTACCACGCAGTGTTTTCTTCCTTTCATCAGGAAATTCCCAAACTTTTTAATGGAAAGTGAGCGTATACTCTAAGATGCACATCTAGAAATTATCTGAGTGTCCCTAGTTTTCAGATATACTTCAGAGGTGATGATGCTAAATGAGTTTGACTCTTGCAATTATGGAGTAACTCATAGATAGAGCTGCATTCAGAATAATAATTATTGTGCTGTTATTTACCTAGAATGTGAATTAGCTGTTTCCAAATTACTTTGTATAGACCAATGTCTTAGATCAAACAAGTAACCAACAGCAGTGCTCATTGAAACGATGGCAGAATGTGGACTAACACTATATTCCACATTCCACATTTCAAAAGTGTGTTCAAAACTGCTGCTCATGTAATGTATAAAGCTTTTTTTTATTTTCTTTCATTTGATTTAGAAGATGAACACTTTACCTCTGATTATGCAACAATTATATACCATAAAATATAGCCATTTGCAGTGTGTCTGACTGTTTTACTAAAGTGAAAGTAAAGCATTTAACATTATACTGGAAATTTATCAGTCATTTAATCATTTTTGGACATATTTTAGGTATTCATCACAGTTTTAAGTATTTACATTTTTTATTTTTAATATTTTATTTATTGTTCTTATTTTATGTGTATGTGTGTATTGCCTGTATGCAGGTAAGTACACATGTGTCATGCAATGCCTGGGGAGGACAGAAGAGACCATCAGATCCCCTGAAACTGGAATTATGGACAGTTATTAGCTGCCACGTGGGTGCTGGGATTCGAACCCAGGTCTTCTGCAAGAAAAACCAGTGTTCTTAACTGCTGAGCCATCTCTCCAGCCCCCAGTAATTACATATTTTTACATTGATGAAGTTACTTTACTTGTGCTAACAGTGGCCTTGTGAATGTGTTATGCAGATATACTAATATTTATATATTCTAAAGTGAAATGCAAAAGTGTATCTTAGGCCTCACTGGGTGTGTCAAGGAATCAGTAATAATGAAAAATACTTGTCAAGATTCTCATCTTTGAAACCTGAAAATGTTGTTACATAAACATCAAAAAAACAAGTCTTTCTTAAATGCCAACTGTGATAAATTTTCATAGTAGTTTTAGAGGAATGTTTAATGTCCCAAAGCATTTCAGTAGAAAGTGGCTCTGAAGACTTTAATTCTACTTATTTCTAAGTTGGCAAATAGTTCTAAAACATATCACTAGAAGAACTAGCAAAGATTCTCAGGTCAACTGGATTTAATTTGTTTCAGGAACCACCTTGCTTTTGGTTAGTGCGGAAGGCATTAACACAACGTTTGACATATTAGCACTGAGTTACAAGGAGAGTGTGATAAGACAGAGGGGAGATAGAAACACTCCATGGTTGTGACATCTCTGTGCAAGAGAAAGATTATCCAAAAAATGACTTACAGAAAAATGCTTTCCTGATAAACTAAATGGAATTCAGATCCTATCTTCTGGAATTCAATATGGTGCATTACTAATGTGCATGACTATCTGCTTCAGGTCGTTCTAAAGCACTTTTCTTTCCAAAACTGCATGCACATCCATGCACTTGCGCACATACTATGATTATATCATAGTATTTAAATACTGAAATGCAAGTTTTATTGTGCCATATAAACAATGCAAAACAGCATTTTCATACAGATAAATCCCAGTATACCATTAGATAATTGAAAGAGAAGGTCGAAAGGAGATAATGCAATGCTGCTTTTAATTCTACTTTAAGATGTTCACTTAGGAACCACATGATCTTGGAACATCAATAGCCCTTACATGGGATATTCTTCATAATACATGCTATGCAGATGAACTCTAAGTCAAGGGGCTTAAATATGAAATTTCTCTGAAAATTCGTTGTCTCAATTGAAGTCAAAATATGTGAATAAACAATTGAAGATTTTATCAATCATAAAGTTGTGACACTGAGTCAACATTTAATGTCTCACAGCAGAATCTAGAGGCCGTTTATCTCTTACGAATCCTATTTAACTCACGATGTCTTATGTCTTCTTAAAACACAGCCCCAGTGGGTAAAGTACTGACATCTTTCTTGTTTTGTTTTAATTTTTGAGTTGAAGAACCTGTCTCAGATAGCTTAAGTATCTTGTACTATATTCACACAAATGAGAAATAAAATAGCAATGTATCGCAATACAAATCTTTCCGATACTCAACAAAATAACTCTATTACCATTATTATGGGCACTGCAATCAATGGAACAAATGACAGTCTCCATTAACACTCTCAGTAACCTAATACAACACCACACCCTCCCTGCCACTTGATGTTTTCATCTCTACAGACCATCCATATTTGGTTACCCAGGACTCAAATATTTAACAGTTTAGGTAGGATTTAAGAGAGTTGAAACCATCATGCCAGAATTGAATGCATTTGTCAGAGGCCCCAGGTCTTCAGCTTCCACTGAGCTTCTGGGGATCTTTGTGGTGAACTGCTGAGGGTATTCCATCTCCCCGCATCTCTGAACCTGAGCAATTAATTCACCTAATCAAAAGCATGGTGAGCTTCATGAATAAAAGTCTTTGAGGAACTTTATGGATTGACTAGGGAAACAGATGTGGTGTTGAGTAGATGGTGACTGAGAGGTTTTGATTAATAATATAGCTAACAAGTTTTTATCAATAATTTTTTATCTTTGAGGCCCTATCATATATTTACAAATCACAACAACCATAGCACTGATGCTATCCTGCATATAAGGACTTTATTGTAGTGAAATCTCAGTTACTGTTTGCTAACTTCACTGAATGTCAAGGGTCTCTCTCATTTATTATTGCTACATTCACAGAACTATTTAATCTTCTTTACTCCAAGTACCACATTCTACCCTATTAATTAACATATTTGATCATATCCTATTTACTCTATATTTTCATTCTAGTATGTGTCTCAAATATAGTAGTTCTTATTTTTCCTATTTAAAGTGAGTCACTCATTTCTGAAATTTGCTTCTATTTT